TCTAGGTGAGGAGTCTACCAACTGAAATAAATCACCAGCTCCTGTCTTACTGCTGATCTTAGAGCAAAGTTTTCAGTCTTTCACTATTGACTATGATGTTAATTGTGGCTGCCATAAATGCCCTATATCATGATGAGGAAGGGCCCTTCTATTTTAATTTTTCTAGAATTTTATTATCATTATTATAGTTATATTTTTCTAGAATTTTTAGATGATTCTAGAACTTTATTATATTTATTTATTCATCCATTTGTGTATGTATGTGTATGAGGGTGTTTGTGCCATGTTATGTGTGTGGAGATCAAAGGAAAGCTTTTAGGACTTGGTTCTCTCCTTTTATACTGTGTGTCCTGGAGGTTTAACTTAGGTTAGGTCATCAGGTTTGTTGGCAAGATAATTTACCCACTGAACCATCTCACAGGTCTAGTGCATGAAATGGACAGAAGAGGGTGTTAGATCCCCTGGTACTAGATGTAAACTGCCATGTGGGTGCTGACAAGCAAACATGGATCTTCTGCAAGTGCATTTATCTGCTAAGCTAGCTTTCCAGCCCCCATCTTTCTGTTATTATTGATTTATAGTCTTATTTTATTATAGTTGGAGAAGATATTTTTAAATAATATTTTTATTGATTTCTTGGAGAATTTCATAGTATGTATTTTGATCATATTCAAATGTTTTGTATTGGGATGGAGAGATGACTCAGGGGTTAAGGGCACTGGCTGTTCTTGCAGAGGACCCGAGTTCCCAGGACCTACATTGTAGCTAACAACTGTCTTCCAGTTCCAGGGGATCTGACACCCTCTTCTGACAATGGGCATGGCATGACATAGGTGCACTTATAAACATGCAGGCAATACACTCATACACATAAAATAAATAAAATATTTAAAACGTTTTGTATTTTAGTCTTTTAAAACTTATTGAGAATGATAAGGGATAGGGAGGATGGAGTCAAATATGTGCAATTGTTTATACCTATGAAAATTTCATAATGAATCCTATTCTTTTTTATGCCATTTATAAATATTAATAAGGAAAACTGGGTTAAAAAAAGACTTACTGAGTAGGCCAAGCATGGTGGCACATGCTGTAATCCCAGTACTTGGGAAGCAGAGGCAGGTGGATCTCTGTGAATTTGAGGTCAACCTGATCTACATAGTGAGATCCAGGCCAGTTGGCATTACAGGGAGACCCTGTCTCATAAAGACTTACTGGGTGCTGGGTATGGTGGTATGAATCTGTAATCCTAACACTGAGCAGGCAGAGGTATTTCTAATTTGAGGTCAGCCTTGGCTATATAGTGAGACCTTGTCCTCCCAAACAAAGAGAATCATTTGATTCTTTTTCTTTTTCTTTTTTTCTTTTCAGCTAGGGTTTAACTATGTAGACCAGGCTGACCTGGAACTTAGACATCCTGCCTGACTCTGCCCCCCCCCCCCCAGTGCTGGTTAAAGGCATGTGCCACCATGGCTGGCCCATGTTTTTTATCCTTTCTCATTGGTTTTTATGTCTGTCTTTATGCCAGGTACACACGGAGTCAATTACTATTGTGTGGTAGTATGTTTTAAAATCAGAAAGTGAGGCCGGGCGTGGTGGCACATGCCTTTAATCCCAGTACTCAGGAGGCAGAGGCAGGTGGATCTTTGTGAGTCGGGGCTAGCTTGGTCTATATAGTGAATTCTAGGCCATCTGGGGCTAAAGGAGGACCCTGACTCAAAACTACCCAAAAAAATCAGAAAGTGGTTATATTTTAATATATGTGTAAATATGTTTTTCAATACATAGACTTAATTATATCTTGTACTCTATTGACTAAAATGTGAAGCTTACATTGGAATTCCTCATGTAAGTTTCTTTACAGATGTTATCTTTTTATTCTTGCTAAATGTTTTAAAATTTATTGTTATCACATGTGTGTGCTTGATATGTGTGTGGGTTGGGTGCGCATGCCATGGAGGTCATAGGACAACGTTGTGGAGCCCATTCTTTCATTTCATCTTTATGTGGATTCTGGGAATCAAACTCAGGTCTCCAAGCTTACATGGCAAGCACCTTTACCTGTTGAGCCATCTCACCAGCCCCCACATATTATCTCTTAAGCACAGGTATTAAGCACAACTTTGCATGGCAGGTGGTATCTGTTATTTCAATTTTATGGGTTAAGATTTTGAAACTTTTCTGTATCATTCCAAGATTCAAAGTAGTCTGAACTTCAGGCACTGGGTCTTTCTACCATGCCACTCTTTTTTTTTGAGGCAGAAAACCTTCCAGGCCCAGCAAAATAATATTGATGGTTATTGGGAGTAGTAGAGATATCACTTTCTTCAGACAGCTGTGCTAGTACTCATTTCTTTGTAGGAAAAATAAGAACTCTTCGTACAAGCAAATTTTTTCAAAAGTTAGGAGACAAGATTTTTGGGGGTGTCTTTTTGAAACAGGGTCTTTCTGTAGCCTCAGCTGTCCTGGAACTCACTATGTAGACAAGACTGGCCTTGAATTCACAGAGATCTACCTGCCTCTGCCTCCCAAGTGCTGGAACTAAAGGTGCGCCATGACACCCAGCCCAGGAGACAAGATTTTTGTTCAAGGAGGAAGGTCTGAAAAATAGACTTACTTTTTTATAGAGATGCCCTCTGGAAAGAAGTAGGAGGCAGGGTTTGTATGAGGAAGGAATCTAGAGAAATTTGAAATTCATCATTATAAGGAATGGAATTAATACTAGGAGTAAGTTTTCACTCTTAAACTTCTTGGTTTTGCAGTTAATCAGAATTTGACCTCATCAATAGGACCTTTCTAGACAATATTCCCATTAAATCCTAAATGTGTTACCTTTTGATTATGAGGGAAAATGTGATCATCTGTATGCTTTTATGTGTTTCTGTAAGGTACTATAATTGTATATGTATGTTTTGCCAGTCAGATTATGCAATGCCAATAATTTTGGTCCCAGTTCAACCCAAATGGTCTTTTTCTTCCCATTGTGTATTAAGTATATACTATTTTTTCCCACTATTTTTCAGTTACATTGTATGAGGCTCCTTTAATATGAAATCAAACACACATTCCTGCCCCTATGTAAACTAAAAGCAGCAGATACAATAATCAGTTTCTAAATCCAATATAACAACTCCAGTGCAGACATAAACAAGTTGTTAGGAAGAGCTGAGGAGGTGGTATCTGAATCAGATTATGCATGTGAGGAAAGACTTCTTACAGGGCTAAATATAGAGCTGAATTTTAAAAGCTGAGTGAAGTAACTCACCAGGGTGATGTTGGTCAAGTGAATCAGAATTAGGTGCATGTGGGAGAGGGACTTTTATAACAAGGATACAATGATAGAAAAGGTATGAAATTTGAGATTCAGGGACCTTCTGCAGTTGGTTGTGAATTAAGTAAAAGAGTGTACTTGTAGAGGAGTGGAAAGAACTGAAGTATGTGTTATTCTGTCTTTTCCCTTTTGGATGATATTTCAGTTTATCCTGCCTTCACTTCTCCCTACAGTCTACCCATCCCTTGAGTCTGATGATGATGACCCTGCTTTGAAATCTCGACCCAAGAAAAAGAAGAATTCAGATGATGCTCCATGGAGTCCTAAAGGTGATCTAGTATTTTGTGCTTTATACTCCATAGGGGTGGCCAGGGGAAAAAATGGCTCGAATTAGCAGAGCTATTTAATACAAGAAGATCTGATACAGCCACTGTATTTAAGTAAACATATGTTTATTCTAGTAATATGTTAGGGTCTAGAACTAAAATGATTGTGTGACAACGTTTATATAATCTAGCAAAATCAGTACTTGATTTTGATACTAGATAGCTTGAGATGAAAGGAAGAAAACCTTGACTAGATTTAGCTAAGAAATCTAGGGCTTCTGAGAACATTCTGGTAATCACCATCTGGCCCCCTTTGAAAATTTTGATGCCAAGGAGGGAAATTCTACTATTACATTCTACAAGACTTAAGATTGTCATCTCTTATAAAGTCATCTCTGAGGAAGGGAAGTAGGAAGGAGGGAGGAAGAGAGGGAGAGTGGGTCTCTGAGGTGAACATGGAATTTTAAGTGATAATCTTTTCCATCTCATTGTCCAGGCTACTTAAACTGGAAGGTGGGTAGTCAGGGAGCTTTTAAAAAATTGTGTATATATGATGTGTATCTATGTGTATAGTGTGTGTTTGTATGTGTGAGTGTTTATGTGTGAGTGCAGGTGTGTATGTATGGAGGTCAACCTCAGGTGTGGGTCCTTGTCTTCTACCTTATTTGAGGCAGGGTCTCTTGTTCACAACTGTTTGCACTCTGCTTCCAGGGATTCTCCTGTCTCTGTATCTCACCTCACTGTAGATGTGCTGGTATTATAGACACATGGTGTCACATCCAGTTTTACATTTTAGCTGGGTTTTGGGGATACAAACTCCAGTTCTCACACTTGTACAGCAAGTGGCTTATCCACTGAACCATCTCCCAATTCCATGGTGATTTTGCCCCTTAGCAAACCACCCAAACATTAATGGCTTAAAAAAACAGTTGACCATTTCTCATGATTCTGTAGGTTTGTTAAGCTGTTTGTCTAAATCTGACCCAGCTTGATTTCAAGCTAGGTGGTAGAAAAAGTGTCTGAGACCTAACTTGGATAGCGAAGGCCTTTTTCCTCTTCTGTCTTCTTGGAGGCCCGCCCAAGCTTTTTCACAGGGTAACAAAAGAATTTCCAGCAGCAAGAAAGGATAAGCATCAATCAATGTGCAAGTACTTTTCAAGCTTCTGCCATGTCATGTTAGATGCTATTGTTGGATTAGCCAAAGCAAGTTACATGACTTTGCTTTGAGATCTTAGTAACTGTGGTGCTCAGGAAATGAAAGATCTTTTGGAGTTTTCTTGGGATTATGGGATTGGAACCAGTAGGGTATTAATGGGAAGTGTTTTAATGAATCAATCAGCAATTTTAAAAAGTCAGATCTATTATTTTCTCATCTTCTTTCTTTTTTTCTTTTATTTTTGAGAATTTCACACATAAGTATTATCTTTGCATTATTTCTATCCCTCCAAGTCCCCCACCAACTCCTCCCATGTTCACCCCCAACTCCCTCATAATTTCTTGATTTCTTGTCCCCTTCTTTGATTATTATTATTATTACATATACATATACTTACATACATACATATATGTGTATACATACACACACATATATATGTAAATATAAAATACACATAGTCCATTTAGTGGTGCTCATGTGTACCTGTGTTAAGGGCCACTCATTTGGGATTAGATAACCTCTGAGGGAGCTAGTCCCTGGAGAAAACTGATTCTCCCTCTCTCTGCAGTCATTTATTGCCTATAGCTCTTCATCTTGAGGTGGGACCCTGTGTGACATTCACCCCCATCCACCTTGGCATGTCAACTGATTTTGTCATTATGCAGATCTCATTTGACTATCATACTGTGAAGATTTTACTAGTGCCCCTTCCCTATCAAGTCTAGAATGCATTAACTAGCAGCGGTGTCTTGTCCCTCTCTTTCATTCTTTTCACCCCTTCTCCTGCAATGTTCCCTGAGTCTTGGGTGTAGAGGTTGCATTATAGATGTGTCACTTAGGATTGGACATCTGACCTGCATTGGACAACTGCATTTTACCAGTTGTGGAACTCTGCAATAGTCTCCATCTGTTGGAAAAAGAAGCTCCTTTGATGAGTGGTGAGAGGTATACTTGTCTGTAAATATAAGGATACGTATTTAGAATACAAAGCCGGGTGTGGTGGCACACGCCTTTAATCCCAGCACTTGGGAGGCAGAGGCAGGTGAATCTTTGTGAGTTCAAGGCCAGCCTGGTCTACATAGTGAGTTCCAGGACAGCTGGGGCTACAGGGAGACCCTGTCTCAAAAAGACCAAAAAAAAATAAAAAAGAAAGAAATTATGTTGGTCTAAGAAAGTGCTACTAATAGTTTTTTTTCTCTAACCATGTGTACTTGGCTACATTTACAGTATCACACATGATTTCCTTTCCATTGAGTGGTCCTTAAATCAAATTAGACAACTGTTATTGCCCCCAAGATAAAAATGATACCACTGGTCTAATAGAGATAGTTTGCTGGACTGGTCATTGTTGTGATTCATAGACTTTGCAACTGGGTAGATCATTGATTGGTTTTCTCCCTTGGCAGCTTGCATAGTATCTTCTGATACTATAAGAGCTAGTCTTCATGGACTAGCTCCACATCCTGTGTCCAAAATCATGTCTTCAGCATTAAGGTCTTACCTTCAAATTTTGGAAGGCAATCAAAGGCTATGGCAATAGCCTGTATTGTTTTGAGAATCTCTTGGACAACCCTGACCAACTTCAAGGGCCGTTTCCGTTGCCTGATACTATGATTTTTTTTGTCCTATAGTCATCATCTATACACATGTACTCATATTTATATTATATGTATATTTTTCAGTAGGCTTATTAAATACTACACTTCCCTTTGTTTTTTCATACCACTTAAGTATTAGCTATCTCAATTTGCTCTCTCTGCCCCTGTTTAGCCCTCCCTCCTCTTCTTCTAATTAAAGTACCACCCCCACTTTTTCCCCTATTTCCCCCTTGATAACTTCTACTTCTTACTTTTTCCTTTGTCCCGAGCTCCTCCTCCTCCTTTCACATCTTATTTCTTCCTATAATTGATACCTTTAGTTTATTCTGTCAAGGTAAAGTTTTTTGATTTGTATGCAAGAAAAATATGAAAAGTACTAAAAGTTGAGGAAACTGTGAAGACAAAATTACCCAGGATTTTGCCATTTAGAAGCAATAACTGTTAACAGTTTTACATTTCCTTTTAGTGGTTATTTTCTATGCATTTTTTCTGTTTATAGTTGAAATAACACTGTAAGGGCTGAGGATACAGCACAGAAATAGAGTGCTTGCCTGTCATGTGAAAGGCCCTAGGTTTAATCCCCAGGACGGAAAATAAAATTTTGGTTTTGAAGTAACACGATATATGCGACTTTATACTCTACTTTTTTTCTTTTCTTTCTAATCAGAGATAGTATGTACAATAGAATAATATGGAGGATTTTAGGTTGAACAGCAACCTTGTCTCTGCTTTCCTCACTTTCAGTTCCATGCCTGAAAGACAACATCATGCTATTATTTTGCTGGTAGCTTCCAAAACTCAAGATGATAAGAGTTTAAGCCAGACGTGGTACCATAGTCTGTAATCCTAGCCATAGAGAAGCAGAAGTAGAAGGATCAAATGATTACAAGTTTGGACCAGCAAGATGACTTAGCAGGTAAAGGCACTTACCACCAAACATGATGACCTGAGTTTAATTCCTGGAACCCACAGGATGGAGGGTGAGAACTGACTCCTGAAAGTTGTTCTGACCTTCCATGTGTGCGCACTCCTGCCCCTGAAATAAATAAATGTAAAAAAAAGTTTGCCAGGCTTAGTGGCACACACCTTTAATCCCAGTATTTGAGAGGCAGAAGCAGATGCATCTAGGTGCGGCTAACCTGGTCTACATAGCAAGTTCCAGGCCAGCCAGTGCTACATAATGAGGCCTTGTCTCAAAAAAAGAAAAGGAGTCTGGAGGGATGGTTTAGCAGTTAAGAGCATTGACTACTCTTGCAGAGGACCCAGGTTCAATTTCTCAGCACCCACATGGCAGCTATCAACCGTTTGAAACTCCAGTTCCAAGGGATTCAACACCTTCTTCTGACCTTCATGGGCATTGCATGACATGGGTTCGCTTACGTACATGCAGGCAATACACTCATACACACAAATAAAAATAATAAATAAAATATTTTTTAAAAGAAAAGGCTTGTAAATATAAGGTGGGCTAGATATTAAGGTTGAAGTCATCCTGATCTGTATAGTGAGACATTGTCTTAAAAAGAAAATTTGTATCACCATTTCTCAATTTATCAACTTTATTTATTTATTTATTTTTCTTCTCATCAATTTCTAATATGTACCCTCTACTATTTTTCCTTTCTCCATCCTTCCATGAACTATCATTCCATGTATTATCAAAGCTGTTAACTATACTTTGTCTTGTTATTAATACTCTGCATTTACTAAGGATTGACTGTAAAAAATGCAAACCATTAAATTATTTTGGCTTTTATATTAATATATCAGTAAGCATTTTCCTATTTATGTGTTTATAAATGTTTTAATATCTACAAAATATCTTTCTGATTATACCTAATCTTTTCTTTAATATTTGTGCTATTGTGCTATATTATGCATTTGTGCTATTACTGAGTTTCAAAATTAGTAATAATATTTGAAGTAAGCATATTTATATGTAAATTGGCATCTCTAGTAATTTACTTAGACTAAATCTTCATGAAATCATAGAAGAGTGAAAGTATATAAGGGTAAGCATTGAAAAATCTCCCTCCTGCCCTGTTCCTCATTTGGAGTTACTACTGTTGCCAGTGTCTTGTTTACTTGTTAGCTTATTTATCTGTGAGTACTATGTGTATATTTTCTTTCCCCTTTTGACTCATTTGGAAAGTTCTGTCATGTACTCTTATGTCTTTTGTTTTCCTCACTTAATAATACATCTTAAATTTTTTTCTGTATTCCTAAAATGCATGTGGGTGTCTGTTTTC